ATAAGCAGTAGTCGAACTAATTTTGACTAAGACCAATCCCCTCATCGATTTGTGGGTTGATATGGTCAGTTAACACTGTTAGTATTTTTTATTTGAAAAATACTTATATATATTTCAAAACAACACTATAGTTTATTATTGCCTAAAATACTTTGCGTTTGATTCTATTATTCTTTCCGAAATTGCTTTGTAGAGAGAGAAAGATGTGGATTTGAGTCTTACATTGAAGATGAGAGAGTTTGTTGAGCTGTATTTAAGAACACGCATTCCTATGTAATATACTCCAAGTAAAAAAGAGAGAGAATGCACATGTGCAGGTACATAAAACATGTGACACACACACGCATGTGCATGTACATAGGCACAAGGGCGCTTGATGGCGTACTTTGATTTCTTTGAAGGTCATGAATCATGATTTTACTCAACTTAAACCTTCAACCGGGCTGAATTTCAATATATGGCAATGCAATAGTTTGGTAACAAAATGTTTCTTATCTCTATTTTTCTAGACTTCAATACAAGTCAATTCAATTAGATTGTGGAATTTCTTTGGACGAATATTTTTTAGTTGGCTCTACAATTCATAAGCTTCCCCATCTCTGAGAGAGTACCAAAAGAAGATGAAATACAAGAAAGTTGATGTTGACTTGATTCAACTTCAAAGATCCCTTCACATTGAAGAAGATAATAGGCTTAGGGAAAATAAAGATGAATTAATTAATCTTTTACTCTAAGGCAAACCTTGTTGAGCAAAAATCAAGTGCTCTATATAACAAGAAGTCTTTCTTTTCTAAGGTTCATAATGAAAATTATAAGGACCAAAAGTTTAATGCCAACAAAAATAGCGTATTTGATGGCGAGGGACACTTTTATGATGGGATGATTAAAGTTTGATATTGTTAATGAAATAAAAAGCTGTATGTGTATATTGTTACCTATTGTAATATATGACATGATAGACTAGGACATGTTAATTATGCTTCTATTAAATCTTTGGTTAAATTGGGATTGATGTATTAACTAAAGAAAAATGTGAAGTACGTGTACAAGCTACAATTATTGAAAAATCATTTTCTTCAATTGACATAAATAGTGAATTGTTAGGACTTTTACATAGTGATGTATGTGGTTTAAATAATATTCTTACAAGAGGTGAGAAAAGATATTTTATTACCTTTATTTATGATTTTTTTAGATTTTCTTATGTTTATTTGCTTAGGCATAAAGATGAGGCTTTTGAAAAATTTAAAGTTTTCAAAGCGGAAGTTGAAAATCAACTTAGTAAGAAAATAAATTATTAGAAGTGATAGAGAAAGAAAATATCAAATGATTTTAATGAATTTTGTAAAAATAATGGCATTATTTAACAAGTAACTGCTCCATATACCCATCAACAAAACGGACTAGTGAAAAGGAAAAATATAACTTTAATTGAAATGGTAAATGCTATGTTCATTTCTTCCTCTTTGCCATTGAATTTGTGGGGTGAGACTTTATTTCAAATAGAAGTTCATATAAAAAGAACGTTAAGACCCCTTATGAGCTTTGGTTTGATAAAAAACCTTCTTTGAATTTTTTCAAAGTATGTGGTTGTCTTGCATATGTTAGACTTTCAGATCTTAAAAGACATAAATTGGGTC